CCAACTTTGAGTCGTCGGAGCCGTTGGAACAGATTGATGACAGACACGCAGTCCCCATCCCCACCAGAGCAGATACAGGTAGGGTCAGGCTGGGCCATTCAGAACCAATGGTTGCAACGGGCATTGGACGAAACGGGGATGGAGGAGGACGAGATGGGGTATCGGGGTAAACGGGCCCACGCTAGAGGCTGCAGGCCATGTCACTTTTCAATCCGTCATCCAGACCGAGAGGGCCTGGGATAGGGAACGTGGTGCCTGGCGCGCGGAAATCCACGTTATGCGTGTGTGTGTGTGTGTGTGTGTGTGTGTGGATGCCCTGCCCGTAGCTTAGCGGCGAGTTCAAGAGCTGCCGCACAGTACTTTTGCTTGGTGATTGGTTCTGTTCCTTCCCAAGGCCCGTCGCGCAGGGCGGCGGTGGTGATGGTGGTGGTTTGGAGGTTTGCGTTTGCCTGCGATGGTGGAGTTGGTCGGGACGCGGAAGAAGTCAAAGTCAGGGTCAGAGGGGTTTGCATTGCGGAGGATCGTACATTTGTTGAATTGGAGGGGTTGGAAGTGATGCCGTCAGGAAGCTGCATCTCGACTGACTAGCACCGGCTACTCTACTTTGAACCGCAAATTGCTGGCCGTCCAGTTGATCTTTGTCTGGGATGATGGCCCTTGTGTGTGCCGTGCCGTACCGCTCAATGCAATCTCATGGGGACTGCGGTACGGTTACAAGGCCTCAATCCCCAAAAAGCCCCGAATCATGCCGTTCTTGGTACGGATCGACTTTGCCCATCTGGGGGAGGGCCTCCCCCAACTGCCCAGGGCTGGCAGGCGAAACGTGGGGAGAGGAGAAGGCAGGTCTGTTGGAGCTGGGGGACACCTGCCCACTTGCCACCAATAGTAAGTTGGGTTCCATGTTATTAATTCACCTCGGCTCTGCATGGGTTTCTGGGAGTAAGACACTGGAATAAGACCAGTAAAGAGATATAGGCACAGGCGTCGACGATGGACCAGCCCACGGGCTGAAGAAAGAGGACAGGCAAAGAAAGTAACGAATGACATGTTCTGCAGAATGGCATTGTATGGTGAAGACGAGTTTGGCGCCACAAAAGGTACCACAGTAATCATCAAAGGCAATAATACATACGTTATGCCCAAGTATGGTCCATGTGCGTATCCTTGGGCTCGGTGTGATGTGACGGGGATGGGTCAACGACCGCTCGAACCACTCGGGCACCATCGTTGATCCCATGTTACCTACCTTATCTGATTCCTTCTCGGTCTTGTGTGATCTAGAAATGGATCGGGGACACCAGGTAGAAAAGACAGGCTCTCCACCTGGCACACCTAGGCGATACATGACGAGGTGACATGAGTTGGGGGAAAGCTGGCTGGCTTTGTGAGTGAGATCGTTCGGGCAAAAAGACAGGAAACTCCCGGTAAGGTGAAAAAGGGACAAAAAAGGGACCGTCAAAACCACAGTAATTATATCGACTGGATGCCTGTCTAGGTACATAGTATAGGCATATTCGAGTTTCGGTCCAAACACCACCAGCCAATAGTCGATCGTCTACTACTCAAACCAAGCATCTCCCGAGCCAGCCCTTGAACTGACCAAGTTTTTTCGACCGGGACCAAACGGCGACTGTCGGCTGTCGATTACAAGCAGGTAACCAGTTTGTGTATTCCTGGTACAAGGAAGGAGGAGGAGGAGGGTTCCAAAGCATCTGCTTGGGGACGTGAAGCTCGACATTGGCAACTACCTGTGGCAGTTTTCCGTCCTACCCGCACGACACCGATCCTCAACGGGCCGACTCCAGGGAGATTGTCCCCATGAACGTGGTAACCCTGTCGAATGCGTGTGTTGTTTTACCCACAGGACGTCCTTCGGACTTCCAACTGCTGGGACGTTGATGAAGAGAGGGGAAGAATCGGCCCCTCGCCGACTTCATTTCGATCCCGCCGTTTAGCTCGCCAGCGATTTGTCAAGACCCAGCCGAGTGGCCAGGTCCAATCTAGCAATCTAGGTAGGCTGCCGGCAGAAATGGTTCCAGCAACTGTGCCATTATCGCATGGCTGTAACATATTACGACTAGCAGCAACAGGACCGTCGCTTCAAAGGGACGGGAAGATCCACGGCGGGTGGGTCTGCCAAGATGCCTGGTCACCGGGACATGGTCGAGACCGACAGAAGGTAAATTAACTACCCTCCTCCAAGATAAGAAGACGGGGGGGGGGCTTTATTGTTGCCGACCGCGTGCAGAAAATGTATCACTGCCGGCCCTCATCTCTGCTGGCAGCCAACGATGTAGTCGGCTCGACTTCTTCCTGTTCTGTTGAGCATCATTGTTCCCCGCGAATCCGGGGTGCGGACGGGGGGTGGGCGTTCCCTGACACCCCGCAGCGACGTCTCCCCACACCGTCACTTCTCGACAAGTCGTCTCTGAGATTCCATTCGATACCAGACTATGATGTTTAATCGCTCGCTGCAGGTGGACGACCCGGGAAGGAGAAAGCCTGCTCTCTGCCGTGTCCGAGGACCTCCTCCCAGCGCGACAACTTGGGTGAGTCAAGTCCGGTTTGCAGGCTAGGATCCAGGATTCAGAGTGCCATCGAGCCAAGGTTTTGCCATCGGGGTTTGTTTCGGCGACGAGAGCGCTGCGTGGGCGAGCCTTGGTCGGCGAGCAGTCTACCTTGCATGGCTGGGCTCCGCCGTGTGTCTGAACAGTGTCCCAAGAGCCGCATGTCGCCCGACTACCCTCATCAGAGTCAAACTTGGCTGGATTCTAAGAGTGAGGACGGCACGTAGGTAATATCACAGCCGGCACTTGAAAGGTGTGACGCCGACGACTGTGGCATCAACGCTGGCTATCCCTGGTCTCGTCTGTTTGTGCAATGGCGGTCTCGCAGACTCGTACGAACCCTTGTAATTACCTAATCTCGTCTCTTTATAAGCAGCTTCACGTGGGTGTACCTACCTACCTAACTACCTGTCTAACCAGGTAGGAGGTGCGCAGCAGTTGTCGCCACCAATGACATGGGCTGGCCTGCGGGACCGATGCCTTTTATTGCGGCCGCATAAGCGAACGGTGAGATCTGGGATGGCAGCGTCTGCACCATAAATTGCATCAAGGGAGGTTCTTTAAAGTCAGTCAGGGCATGTCACGTAGTGTACTGTAGGTATACAGGTGTCATTGGCCCGGTGCGAGTGCGAGCCGAAGGTCAATTGTTATTGTGGCCAGCGACTCGCGCAGTCACTTCCCGAGCTCCCGAGCTTGTTGGAACTCTATTCGTCTGCATGTATACTTATGTATATATAGTTATATATATATATATATATTTAAGATTCTAGCGCTGTAGGCACTGTAGCAAAAACCGACGGCCCATGTGGTTTAATTAGTAATTAATTATTCGCCAAAGATGACGGCTGTGACCTCGCCCTCGACCTTGCTACTCGCAATGATGTCGACCAGCTTGCCTGAAGTGGCGTTGCGGCTGATGATGACGACGCGGCTGTCCGATTGCAGACCGACGGCGACGAGGTCGCCGGCCTTGTTGACGGAGAACTGCCGGGGTATGCGGCCACCCGCGGGAAAGGTTTGCAGCAGCGTGAGCGCGCCGGTCTGCTCGTTGATGCTGAAGCTGTTGAGAGAGTCGGAGGGGATTTGCACGCCACCGCTCCCGGTGTCAGGGTTACTGATGGTGAAGGCCGAGTCGTTGCGCGAAGAGACGGTCAGGAACTTGCCGTCGGGCTGCATATGTTAGTGTGAATCGGCAACAAAAGTGTCGGGACTCACTGAAATCCAAATCTCGGCACCGCTAGCTCCGGCAGGTGCGTTAGCACCCTCGCCAAAGGTAGAACCCGAGTACACCTCGGTGAACCCGAGAGTCTTGTTCTCGCGGTAGGTGACGTCGTAGGCGGTGATGGAGTTGGAAAGCTCGCTGATAAGGTACAGGTACGTCTTGCCCTCCGGAGTGACGAGGAACTCGACGTGGCGAGGTCCGCTGCCGGGGGCGGCCGTGAGAGAGTCGACGACGACGAGGTTGGCGCCGTCAACAGCAAACACGCGTACGAGGTCGGCGCCCAGGTCCGGCACCAGGACGAACTGGCCCTTGGGATCGAGGAACACCTCGTGGGGGTGCGGGGCGTCCTGGCGCGACGGGTTCGGGCCCGGCGCAGACATGTTGAAAGTCTCGGACTTGATCGCCGTGAGGGCGGCTGGGTTGGAAATGTCGAACCAGCTCACGGAAGAGCCACCGCTTCTTTGGGTCAGCAAATATCCGCAGCCAAGCTTAAAGACAGACGTACTATTGGGCGACAGCCAGGCCCTGGCCTCTGTCACTATAGACAACGGCGCTGACGGGGCCGCTGATGGTTTCCGTCTTGGCCAATTGCTGGAGCACACCGTTGGGGCCGGTGGTGAAGGACGAGACGGTGCCAACATTGGTGGTCAGCCCCTCATCCGTGCAGTAAAGCCGGGAGTTGACTGGGTCGAGGGTCAGCCAGGACGGGCTGGGAGCGCAGCCGTCGGACGACGAGATGGGAAGCAGGGTAGACTGCGTGGCGTGGTTGGCGCACAGGGTGAAATTGAGCGTGGTGATGGCGCCGCTGTATGACGACGCATAGAGCAGGGTAGCCGCGGCCGGGGCCGACAGCAATAGCGGCAGAAGTCCCGAAGGGGCGAACAAGTCTCGCATCATGGCGGGCAGAGGCAGGATGACGGCGCTCGCGAATGAGTGGCGCTGCCGTGGGCAGAAGAGGCACAGAATCAGTGCGGGTACGAGGCACAGAACGAGTGTGAGGGTGAAAAGTACAGACGTTAGACGATGGGACGACAAGAAAAGGGGATGTTGTTGGCGTCTTGGACAGCGAGGCCGGCCCATGGTGGGCAGCAGTGAAAACCAGGGGCAAGACGGGGTAGTCTGAATGACTACGTAGTATTTCAACAACGGCTCGTCGATCGGCCCTTGGTCCTGTCTCGGAAGCTCACAGAAGTGGTTTGTGTGGGCTCGAAACAGGGACCAGTGTTTCCTATTCGGGACTCCCTCGACACTCTTCCGTGCTTTCTGGTAAGCGAGCTTAATCCGGGCTCGCTCTGCACGGGACAGTGCTTCCGCGACGGCAGCAGCCTCACGAGCTGGCGGACGGGTGGTCAGAGTTCTGTGTGAGTAGGGGGGGTATGGTGTGGACATATTCACAAAAGGTACGTATGTTAAAGCCTGACTCGAAGCGGGCAAAGCAGACCCATTGTGCCCACGGAGGGGCCTCGCGGTTATGGTAGCCAAATGCCGTGCTCAGTCTTGGCATGGCCCTCGGGTTGAGTGCCGCCCGAAGTCCGTCGATGTGCTTCCCCTCTTCGTCGTCGTAGACGACGCCGACGACCGTACAGAGGATGGGAAATTCGAGCCGCAATGACAGGCCAGCACCCGTTCGTCTCATGCCACCACCGTTCCCGCAACAAGACTTGGTTCAGGTGGAGTAGCGTGTACTGTGTCCAATGCGGAGAATGCGGAGAAGAGAAGAGAGGGGAAAGACTGGAGGACTGGAAGACTGGGAAGAGTGTGAGGGGAAGGGAGATGTCGACGAATCAGCGTAGCCCGTTGATCGTGAGAGTGGTCCCCTCTGCCGCGAAGTGGATATGCCCTTGTCTTCGTCTGTTGTCGAGATGCGCCGTGGGGAATTGCCAAATATCCCAATTTGAGTTAATCTATCCGGCCCCCAATGAGACCGTAAACCCGACTGAAATTTGTGGCCTTTCAGGCACGGCGCGGTGCCGTCGACGGGGGTTTCCTCGGGCGGTAGTCAAAGTCCGGCGTGTTACAACTCTGACACACGCTCTGGGCGCATTGTCCAACTTTCCCTCATCTGCCCATGCCGCACAGCAGCCTGTTTCAAGAATACAGGTTGGCATCAACGTCGGCGGTAGTTGCGCCCGAGCAAGACGACTCGCTTCCGGATGGGTCCATATCACGGGAAACAGACAGCTTGTCGTTGTAGCAATCAAATGCCGCACCTCCTCTTCTGCTATTCGACCGCTCTCCACGAAGGCGTCTGGCTGGGTGCTGACGGGAGTCAAGTGACGCCGTGCATTGCAACACAGTTGGGGAGGCTTGCTAGCGAATCATTCGCATGGGGGATTCGGCTGGAATGGGGGGCATGCACTATGGGCGGCCATGTACCGGCAGTCTTCTCCGCATCGGTGGTGTCCTGCAGCCGTTGCCCGTTACGGCGTCTCTCCGTCTGATTGTGCTATGCCGATCGACGTGTGGAAGCTTCTTCTTGCTGCAGGCCTCGTTGGCTACAGCTTCCGACCTGCCATGCGGCGGTGAGACCACAGCATGTGGGCGACACGTTTGATGAGATGCTCTGAACAACCCATCGGCGTCTGTACCTGGATATGCACCCTAATCAAGTGGGCCTGAGGAAAAACCGGCATCGTGGTTGGTCGCACCGCAGACGGCAGACTTGCTATGCAATCTTCTCACCGGTTGCTACACTTCACACAGGGCAACTATGCAGTTGAGCACTCCGCGAATCTGCAACCCAAACCACAGGCCCAAGACCCGAGTTTCGTTACCACAGGGCAATCTTTGGACCGCCACGAATGGCGGCGACTGGAGCCAGCTTACGACGGTCAACGCTATATCCCCTGTGCGGCTTCATATATATGCGGGGGACGTAGCATCCAATCAACCTCTCTACCCAACCAGAGCCCCATCTCGTTCTTGCTTAAAGGCTAAAGTCGAGACCAATCGAATCTGCGAGCAAGGGTCATCTTGTGGATAGTTCTGCACGACTCACCTCAAGACTGAGGACAACAGGAACTTGGAGCCGTCCTTCCGTGCCGCGTCTCGTGGGGCCTCGGTAGCTGTTTGTTAAGGTTGTCATTCTGTCTATCATTTCTGTATGGCGTGTAAATCGCTGCAGTGCGGTATGTTATTCCTCCAGGCTAACTCACGGACGCCATGCCAATACTGTTCCGTCCTCAGCACCATTCCTTGATTGGAGGCAACGGGGTCGCTGTTCGGGTCAAAGAATTCCGACACCAATCCATCCACCTCGGTGCTGTTAGCACTCTGCCGCGTTCCAAAGCGTTTCCCACTGATGTTTCCAGCAGCAGCTCACAAATCAACGGTTGCGTCTGGTATCGCGAGGATGGGGCATGCACAAACGTATCTATGCTTTTTCAAATGTCGTGGGTGTAGTGTTTCCCCTGGAGTGTGATAAACTATAGGGTGCCTATAACCAGTAAGCTTGTGTCGAAGAAAAAAGGCGCCGCAAAACTTACAAGAACCTGCTTTGCGTTGCAGATTCTCCAGGCCATCTTCTTGACATTTCCGTCAGCAGGCACGATTGCGGGGGCAAACTCAATACCAAACATCTGGTGGATGGCATAGACGATGCGCTTTGCGTACTTGCCGTCCCGCTCGACGTGGCCGCCGAACGGCTCGTCGACGGTGGCGGGCGCAATATCGGGGTCCCGGTCGCAGCAGTTCTGCACGAGGGGCAGCAAAGCTTGCTCGACAGCCTTCTCGTACATGCCGTTGGCGTCGACCGCGACGTCGTCCTCGTCAAGCTTGCCGATGCGGATCTCAAAGGGCTGCGAGATGGTCATGACAGTGTGAGCCCCGGCGTGATGGTACCGGAACTCAAAGACCCCTTGAGTCCACCAGAGCCGGTCACCTTCAAAAACGACCTCGCCCTCGACCAGGTCGGGGTCAGACGGGTCCTCCTTTTTCACAGGGCGATCCGGAACCAGGATTGTCTTGTCCGCCGTCGCGGCGTCGTAGTTGCCAGGTGTGGTGGGTGCCCATCGACCCAAAGAAGAAACCTCGGTTACTTTTCTAGAGCGATTGTCGGTCACCATGTAGAGCCCGATCCAGTCCTTGCTGTCGTGCTTCGCGGGGGCGCGCCACTTGACCTTCAATGGGGAACCGTAGTCAAACATCAAGGTCTCGGTACCATGGTGGAAGCGTGCCGTCACACTCTCCTTGCCGGTAGCCCGCTCATTCGCCGCCGAGTGGCTCGAGGGAGTACCCTCCACGAACAACGAGTAGAGTTTGGGGTCCAGGCCGGCAAGGTCGGGGGACAGACGGGTCACGGTCAGCCGCGCCGGATACTTATTGAACAAGGCCGACGTATCGCGGACGATTGTCTCGATGCCGGATGCGAACTTGGGACGTGCGGAATCAAGGAACTCCTCGATGAACTGGGCCGTGTCGTCAATCACCTTGTCGACTTCTCGCTGCCAGCCCTGAACAGGCGGCGGGAGAGAGCGCTTGATGAACTTGGTCAGACCTGCTTCTTGTCGGATGCCTCTGCCGTAGGTCTTCTGCATGTGCGGCTTTTCAATGAAGTTGATGAAGCCTAAGGTGAACAGCTGGCTGACCAGTGCCATGATAAATATGGCTCTGCTCCACGTGATCAGAGCAGCTCCCCACAAGCCAGCGGTTCCGAAAATCCGCTCAGGGTTGTTGAGAAAACGGTAGATGGATTTGTACGTCAGCCTGGCAGTTGAGTCGTAGAAAAAGTCGCCATAGAACCAGCCAAACTCCCCGAGCGAGTCGTAGACGCTAGCGGCCGTCCAGATCTGCAACGCAACGAGGCCAGCCCCAACGACGTGCTTGAGGAGGACCCATCCGTAAGCCCAATCTTCAGGCGGCGAATACATCTTCCAGCATGCTGCCATAAAGGAGCCTGTCACCATAACCAGACTGAGATGGTACATGCCCTTCCACTGGTTCCAGGCCTCGGTGTGGCTCTCGCCATACTTGAGGAAGTGTCTCGTCCAGAACTTATTGCGTGATTGCGATGCGAGAATGGCGCCTAGGCCAAGATGATACCATACCCGCCAGAGCAGAGCATGGAAAACGAAGAGGGCTTGGAACAAGGGGGTGGATGGCGTGACCAGGGCCAGGACTGCCAAGTAAAAGCCAAGTAGCAACACCGACATGTCCGTGACACGAAACAGATCAATGTTGTCCAGGCCAATCAAGTTGTGCACTTGGGGAGGCGCCTCTTGGGACGACAGTTCCGGGGACGAGGTCGTTTGGTCGACCGAGATTTCCTCGGTGTCCGAAGACCTGATCGCGACAAGCTCCGACTGGCCAGTGGCTGGCGTCGAAATGATTCGCTTACGAGGCGCAGGCGGGTTGTATGTTTTCTCAATGTGCGGGTTCTCGACAATCACCAAGAAGGCGAACTGGGCAAGATGGGCAGCGATTGAGATGAAGAGGACCTCGTAGCTCGCGGCCATCATGGAAATGCCGTAGTAACCGGCGTATCCAATCGAGTACATGGGATGGGGGGCCATCTCGAAGACGCCGTCAAAGGTCAACTCCTGGTCGATGAGGTAGAAGAAGTCTCCCCAGTACCAGGCGTAGTCCTTGACAACACGGTGAGCGTCGAGCTTGACCCACAGGTTGAAGAGAACCAGGAGAATGCCGATGGACCACCGACCGACACCGACCAGCACGTTCTCACCCTCGGGAGTGTGGCCGCAGATGATAGCAAAGAGGCAGTAGGACACAAAGTCACACATGAGAATCAGATCGACAACACGACGGAAGACGAGCCAGGTGTTGTACTCCATAGGGGCCTTTTCGAACTCGTAGTCCTCGGGGATCTTAGCCTCGAGCTCGCGCTTAAGCATGTTGTAGAGCCAAGGCCGGGGCTGCTTGCCGGAGCTGGGGTGCTCGAAGAGCTTCCATCTGGCGGCCCATGTCTCCAGCCTGCGGTGGTTGGATTGGATGGTGAGGAGGTAGCCAATGCCAATGTTATAGGCGGCACGCCAGAAAAGGAACACGAGAGCAAAGACGGGGCGCTTCATGTTGGCAGGGAGAAGGTAGGCCAGGCCGATTTGAAGGACGAGAATGGCGAGCACGAGCACATCAGAGAGGTTCTTGGGCTGCCTCGGATCAAGCAGCTGCGACACCATGTCATGGGTCGTGGGAACGGTGAAGACTAACAGACAGCCGTCAGCGGATGAGATAGACAACGAGCTCGCCGCGAGAGCCTACCTGTGCCATCGGGGGTTCGACCAAACGTCTTCTTGGGCTTCTGCTCGAGGCCCTTGCCCGTGTCGGAGCGAAAGTCGCTGGCAGTTGGGGGGTTTAGATGCTCGCTGTCGCCAGCAGAGGACGTCCGCCTCTGTCGCTGGCGGAGAGAACCATCACCATTGGCGACGGGCGCGGCGGAGGAGCTCATTCTAGCCGGATAAGTAGAGCCTCGTCACAGCTGAAGATGGGCCGACAGTCAGTCCCGAGGTTATTCACACACACAAGGAGGTCGTCGGTAAGGGCGTTGTGCGAGGGTTGTTCTGATGCTCAAAGTGTCCATGAGCCGCCAGTGTTTCAGTACAGGTTTCGAGGTCGGAAGGCTTCGAGCGTCCCTTTTGGCACAGAAGGGCAGGGACGTGGAATCAGAAAGTCAAGATGAGGAGAGGAAAGATTCCGTTATGTACCTAGAGAGGCGCAAAGAGTTGTTGGGAGGAAGCAAGTGGAAACGTCACAGTCAGGCAAGGGTTCAGGGTGCAGCTGGCGGTTTCCAATGGAGGCGTCTGGAAGAGCCCCACCCCACTAAACAGCGGGTTTATACTGTAAGAATGCCTGTCTATCCCGCCTGTCGTTGAACGATCTTTGCCTTTTTCTAACAAAGTGGAGACTGACGCTCCGCTGGCTGACTCTTTACATGTGATTGATTGCTGGAAAAGGTATGCACACTACCTACAGTAGCTCTTCCCCAGTTTCAGTCAAAGAGGCAACAACTCGAGATTAGGTACGGTATGTGGGTTGGATAACTAAGCCTCGTCCGAGCGACTGAGCGTCGGCACTAGCAGGCAGTTGCACGGCGTTTTCCGGGTCAAAGCCGGCCTAAAGCAAATTTTTCATAGGCCAAAGTACCGGTGTACATGCCCAGTTCGTCAAAGGCTAAATAAGATAAAAGGTCCCATGTAGGTACGCCTTGGGGACTCCCAATTGACGTCGTCGTCCAGCCGGAGAGCAAGCATAATACCAGCGGTCTGTCTAAGACATACGTGTCTCTTGCTCGGACTGTTCCCCCGCCCTGGTGCCCTAATCATCCCGGCTCGCGCAGATAGGGAGACTACACTAGGTAGTAGTAGGTAGTATGGTATGGGTGGGGGTACTTCCAGCCTCTTCGATTTTCTTCGAGCGGAAGATGCGCCAGACCTGCGCTTGTTGCACCCGTACCTGAGGCACCTCTGAGGACTGTTTTGATGACCTTCCTCTCTTATCGCACCGAGCCAAACCCAGATGCGGGGTCTCTGTACTAGCTTACCTAAACCGTAACCGGCTCCCTCCAGCTCTGATGCTCAGGCCAGTCCCCCCCCCATCGCAAGAAGCACGTGCTGATAAGAACTTATCGGCCTATGGTGGGTAAGCAAGTCAGCATATCCGACCTCATTTAAGGCCATGCCTCCAACGATCGAATCAACTTACCGACCAAGGGCGAGTGGATGCGATCTCGCTCATATCCGTCACGCCCGGCATCATTCAAGCCCTAGATCTGGCTTCCAACGGCGCCAGCACGTACACGTACTTCGTTGGACAGGGATATGCCCGTCTCACCACGCGATGCAAACCGCCAACATGAACTACTCCCATCAACATCCCTCCCTCAAGACCACGCGGATTCAGGCGTGGCACCCGCGTTGATGGCAGATTTCATTGTTATGCTTCCAGGAGGCTGCTTGGTGACCACTTATTCGTCCCCTGATCAGGGAGATGGAGGCATGCTTTGCTGGGGTGTCCAGGGTACGCCGGCCTTTTGCATGAATTTGTAGAATGAACAGTATCAAATCACAACCCACCGCGCAACGGGGCCCCTCATGCTTCAAATTTCTCTCCGGGCTGCGACCCTTCTACGCAACGGGTGGCCATCATCGTTCGGCCGTTGTATAAGAACAAGTGCTGGGAGTCACAGGACATGCTCTGTCCCTGTGCACCTCCTTTGCGCGTGGTTCTGCTCACCAAAGTAGTCTTTGCTGACCCCTATTCACTCGTTGACCGTCACAGTTGACACCATCTACCTCAAGCAAGCGGAACACCGCACTCGATCACACAGGCAACGTATTGTAATAGTTCATCATCCCCACAAACACCACCCCCGCCGTCAAAAATGGCCCGCGAAACCCCGGCATCCTCCGTCGTCGGCGAAAACAGGCCGCTCCCGAAGCGCCCCGGCACCTCGGGCACCGAAAATATCCTTAAGACGAACCGCCGGCAGGCTTCGGACAACTACCAGCGCGCTCAGCGCGCCGAGCGTGCCTACCGCGCCAAAAAGCGCGCCACCGCCGCCCGCGCCGATCTCTCGGATGCAAAGACCCACTACGCCGAGTGCTTCAAGCACCTCACCCGCGGCCTCGCTGTCACCTTTTCCGCCGTCAAGTCGCTCCCCTACGTCTTCGACGAGCGCCAGGAGGCTGCCCGCCAAAAGGCCGATGCCAAGAGGAAGCAGCGTGCCCTCGAAAAGAAGAAGAAGCTCGAGGAGAAGCTCGCCCGCGAGGCCGCCGATGCCGAAGCTGAGGCCGATGCTGCACCGGCTGACGATGCACCGGCCGAGGAGAATGCCGCCTGATGGACCATTCGCAGGGTCGATTCTATTACGTGGATGAAGGGGATCGAGGCTTAATATGCTAGGTGCTTAGTATGCCACGCCTTCCTCGCGCTCCTTTCGTCGCCCGCGCCCAGGGTGGTGATTTCAGGCTGAGCCTCTTCTTCGTCTTTTCGTAACTCGCCCTGCGAATGGATCGTCTTCCTCCACGCCAGCGCCATAATGTACTCCTCGCCCAATTCACAGCATCATATGCAGCTCGCTCAGCAAACGTAATTGCTACACACGCTCTCGGGCACCCACTGTCGTTCCCATCATCATATCATAACCCGCCCCGCCCCTTCTTCTCATTTCCCTTTCTCTTGCATTATTCATATTCATTTAGTGCTTCTTCTTGAAACGACGCCCCACGACTTTGGACGAGATAATGATGACGGAGCCAACATATAAACGGACTCTTCCAGTAATACATACCGCATATATTCAGCAGATGCTCGCAGAGGAGGAATGTGGCGGCCGTGCTCGGGTCTCTTCAGTCGGCGTCTTGTCGAGGGCCTTGCTTGCTTTGGTCATTGAGCTTTCACTATCATTATCCCAACATTTTCTTTGTACACCGGTTGGCACTCGTATTGGCTTGGAGAAAAGGAGGGAAAGGAGTCGGTTTGGGGGAGCTTCATCAGAGATACCTGCATTGAATTTCCCCCCTCTCGTTGTTACCAGAATTCTAGCAACATTGTTTTCCAACATGAATCCTACAGTCTTCTCCCTGCAATCATGAAAACTCTGTAAACCCGTTTGCCGGGGCTCCTCCTCATGATGGTTCATGCACTGCAAGTCTGCATTGATCACACCCTCGCCGGCATATGACAGCCCCCTTCAGGCATACCGTCTAGTTTCCCGTGAGATCATGACTTTGCATTTCCGAGAGATAGAAAAAAAGGGATTAACTACCGTATCCCCCAGGATGCCAATTTTATACCATTGCCGTTGCCGTGGCCGTATCTCCAGTAGTAGCATCAAAAGAACCGTCGTCGTTACCGCACAACCACACCCGCCCCCTGTTCCACATGGTGCCTAGCTCAGGCCGCCTTCTTGGCGAACTCGACTCTCAAGATCAAGTGCTTAAAACCAAAGCCGTCCATCTTGGCAGCAGCCTTGACGGCGTCGCTCCGATCCGCGAAGCTGATGAAAGCGAAGCCCTTTGCCAGACCCGTTTCCCTGTCCTTGGCAAGGAACACACGTGTGACGCGGCCGAAGCGCTCGAACATGTCGCGAAGCTCCTGTTCCTCCGCCATCTCCGAGACCTGTCGTCGGTTTGTCAGTATACCAGCCAAGAGTCACAGCGCAGGGGACAGGAAGAACTCACGTTGGTGACACGCAGCGTCGCGAGGTCGTCCCGCTCGCCGTACTTGCTGCCGCCCATCCTGTCTCCCGCAGAGGCGCCGCCGGCCGCACCGGCTCTGAGTGCCGGCGGGACGTAGCTGCCCTTCTTGGCGCCAGGGCCTGCTGCCGCAGCGCTGCCCGCGCCCGGCTCGTCGGGCAAGCCCGCGGCGACGTCGGCGACGTCCCCGCCGACGGGAGCCATGGTGTCCTTGTAGGGACAGCGGGCGGTGAAATGCTCGCCGTTGCAGATACGGCACTTGACCTGCTTGTCCTTGAGCTTATCCTTGAGGGCCTGGGCACCGGCGTCCTCGCCCTGCTCCTTCTCGTCCTTGCGCCAGTTCGTGCTGGGGCGGAAAATGATGTTCTCGCCGACCGAGGTCGTGTCCGGGGCCGGGCCCGCGGGGTCCTTGGCACTGAGGCCGAACTTGGACCACGTCTTGCGCTCGGCGACGCGCGGGTTCACTTTCTCTGTGTGAGTCGTGTAGCGGATGCGGCGGGTCATCTTGACCTTCTTGCCCTGGTCATTGTAGCGGAAGGTAATGATGGTTTTGGTTCCGTCCTTGTTGCTGATGGTCTGGGGCGCGGGAAGCTCAGTCGACGTCTCCTCGACGTCTTCGTCGTCGGCCCAGTCATGCCTGATTGAGAGGGGTTAGCTATTTTGGACGAGTTTTTCCCCCCTTTCATCTGTCTTCTTCTTTCCGGTGCAGAACGGGTCGGAATGGAGGGCGTACTTGGTCTTAGGCGTAGCCATGTTATCGGTCGGTACTCTTCGCGTGCGTGACAATCGGGTACAGGCTCGAAAATCGATCGTATCGGTCAGAGGTTTGCTGTTTTCGAAGCGGGTTGTCACGGTGGTCAACTTCGTGGTGGGGTCACGGAGGAATTTTGATGTTGATTGATTTTCGTGGTGCGCCACCGAGCGCTGGTGTGGGGCGATGGGGCGCTAGGCCATTTTGGGTCTTATCGTCCCCAAAGCCTTTCCATTCATTTGTCGTGTCATTCTCTTCACCCACAAACATGCCTACGTCTTCTCATCTAGCGTGCGTCTCGCGTTGCAAAATACCATTTTCATGTCTTTGGATTTTCTTTCGACCTTTTAAAGAGGCGCTGTATCTACTAATACGGTCTACGCAGCCCGTCAACAAGGCCCGTCCTAGGGGTGTCTATCATATTGTATGTTGTCCGAAAACCAGCCATGATATGCACCTCACCTCACCGTCAAAACGGTCCATATGCCTTCCAGATGGCGAAACTTGTTCCATCCGATAAACGCCGATTTGTGCAGCAAAGGGTATGACGCAAACAGACCCAACTAAGCAAAACCATAGGAAATGAGGAATAGTTAACCTCGCGGAGGGGAACAAAGCGAAATAAGAAAACAAGCTACGCATTGGAGTGTGGTTTCTGAGGAATGGGTGGCAGCGCATAGTTTGGTGGCGGCGCTGGCGGGGGTCCTTCGACCAGTGCGGGCATGCTACTTCTGCCCATGCCGCCATGCGAGTGGTCGTTGCAGGGCACTTGCTTGCTCCAAGGAGCGGGAGAAGTTGTCGGGGCACGCGACGATGATGCAAGTGATGCTGACACCACCCTGAGAGGCGGGGGGGGAGGTGGGATCATGTCGTCTCCGGGGGACCGGCTCGCGAGGGAAGGCGCACTGAGCCTCTTGGCGACTGCCTGAGCGCGGGACCAAGTCCCTGAGGAAGACAGTGGACGAGGAGAGGAGTCCTGAAGACGGACTTCACATGAAGATGCCGGGCTGGGAGTCTTGGATGGGAGGATGAAGGTCCGGAGCTCCGGCGAGACAGGAGTCTCGTCCTGAAGAGACGGTGAACTAGCGTACTTTCGCGGACTCGTCCGAAGGGTCACCGTAACCGTCTTATTCTTGGGGCCAAGGCTGGTTTGTCTAGGAGGGTAGGCATTTGATACATCGCTGACCGAAGTCCGGTGCCCCTGGCTTTCTCTGGTTCGGGAGACTCCAGCTGCCTGACCCGCTACCGGCTCTAGACCGTGCACAGGAGACGGCTGGTCTGCCACTATCGACAGAGGCCGTGCCATGGCGAGCGTGGTTGGAGGAGGCTTGCGGGCGTTCCTGATAACGGAGTCCCTATTCCTTGCCTGCTCAGGGCTAGAAGGAGGACTTCTCACGGCGCTGGAACGTCTGCTCGTGGGGATGCTGAAGTTGATGGCCACGTGAGCAAAGTCGGCCTCCGTGTACGTGGACGGAGGCCGCGACATGGGCGAAGCACGCAGCTCCGAGTAGCCCAAGGTCTGCAGAGACTGGCGGCGGTCGAGAATGGCCGCAGCGTTCGGTCTCGGCCTAACCGTAGAGGGCTCGCGTACCGGAGGAGGCAGATCTTCAAAGTGGCTGCTGGCAAAGCTATCGCGCACGGGGGAGCACGCGGGCGACGAGCCAGCAGACGTAAGAAACGTGCGTTGGCCGGACGATATGTGCGAGAGCCGGTTGGTGCTGTCACGCAAGCTGTCGAGCTGGTGGCCGTCGTGGGAGATGATGCTGTTGGTGGTGGAGACGTCGTCGATTGAGGGATCTCGGGTCGTATCAGCATCCGTGACGGAGCGAGGCTCGTCCTCGCGCAGCCTGACTTGTTCCATTTTCAGGGAAAAGTCCGGCGGAAGCACTCGCGAGAACCTGTTCGGGTCACGGACGACCAGAGTGCGCTGGCTTGGCTGGATCCGCAGCTGAGCGATTCTGCCATCTGGCCTAGGCCTGCCGGTTTCCGAAAGGTTCTTCTTCCCGCCCAGCGCCTCGATTTCCCGGCGCAGGACAGCAATCCATGACTCCATCTCCTCGGCACTGTCAAACACCATGAGGAAGTTCGCGGCATGTCTCTTGTCGGACGCACGGAAGGGCAGGCGGGCCAGCAGCGACCGGGAGTCGGTGGCAGTGAGGCCATTGGACTCCATAGCCGAAGAGACTTGGAGAACCCAATGTTTGCCAGGAATTGCATCACTGACAAACGCGGCAGAGTCCTTGCTCAGGTGCAGCACCTTTTCCGGCAGGCGGTCAAAACTGCCGTCGGCGGCATACTGGAGCAAGTAGCCTGATGTGCAAAGCACGTAAGTCTTGGATGTCCACTCAAGCTTGACCGTGGACAGCGTTCGTAGGTGCTTCCTCCGCGCCCTCTCGGCTACCCTAGCAGCGTGCTCTTCGGCGGGCTCTGGGGTGAGCGCGAGCTGGGTCGGGGCCCCTCGTAGACTGATACTGCCTTTCCGGTCAGTGAGACGGAGGATCACGTCGGCGGACGTCGTGGCTGCGAGGAGTTGGGCATGCTTGATCGCTTGGGGGTATGCTTGGAACAGGGGCGGAGGGTCCCACGTCGCAAGACTGCCTCGCGATGACCTCGCGGCGGGGGCGTTGTTTGGCCTGGTCTTGTCCGAAGTGGTAGGCCTTGTCTTGAGGGACAAGTCGGTGGAGGACGCATTGGCGGATATGGACGTGGATCGCGAGTGGTTACCGGATAGCGCGAGATCGGACCGCATGTGAGACCAGTTGCTAATCCCAGCTAATGAGGCACGAAGGCCGCTGCCCCGTCCGGTGTCGAAGTAGGACTTCGTAGGGTCGACTTCGCGAACCGATTTCGCTCTGCCAAAAATGGTCTTCAGTCCCGTTCGCGAATCTCGTTTGTCGAGCCTGTTCTCGGGGCGCAAAGGAATGCGAGTCGACGACGATGCGGGAGCGGCGGTCTCTGTCTGCACATTGGCCGGTCGTGCTCTGCGGGACTGGGTCGCGCGGTACTGTAGCGTTTCCGCAAAGGTTGTAACGTTTGGGCTGCTCGGCTCAACATCAGCCATGACTGGGGTCAGTTGATCTAGCCAGACGTAAATTTTGGGCTATTGCTTATGAGGTTGATCTGAGCAGGCTGCTTCCAGAGCGGAAGAGGGTGGGCGGTGATATGAGTATAAGACAGTGAGGGACGACGATGCGCTCTGGCATAACAGGGAGCAAATGAGTGGGTTTGGTAATGTAGGTAGAGGCGGTAGGCATAAAGAAACAACCAAATGTTGGCAGGGTGTGTAATTGTGGATCTTTATGACCAAGGTCTTCAACCCCGGCAACGGGACGTCTGGGGTGTGGGTTGGTCGGCAAGCAAGCTATTGCGATGAGAAGAGCCGGTTGAAGGGGAAGAGGGCTCTTGTAAGTGTTTGCGCTATTGGAATTTGTTGCTGATGTGAGGCCAGGCGGCGTGTCCGACACGACCGGGATGGGGTGGGAGCTTAAATACGGAAAAGGCTGGTTTTGGGCTGGATGTAATCTTGGGACGAGGCAGAAAGAAGCAATTCACAGAATTGAGGTGAAGGATAACCTATGTACGGATAGGTAGGGAAACAAGTTTGGACGTGAGGGAGAGTGTGAGCGGGTGAGTTCAGATGGAAGAGAGGGCCTGCCTAACGGAACGGAAAGGCAGATGGAAGGAAAGTGAGGGGGAAGTACAAGAAGATAAAACAAGGCAGCATTCGCGGCGAGAAGGAAATGGGAGGACATTCGGGCAATAATAAGAACAATAACAATGGAGGACATTGACCAGAGCAGAGCAGAGAGCTAGACACTAGAATCCAAGACCGCGGCGGGAGAGTAGGAGCCGGTGAAAAGTGCAAAGGAGCTCGGTCGAGCCACTAGGCCAGGTCGGTGGACTTGCTTTAGCTGCTAGCACAGGCACACACACAGGCACCGTGGCACACAGGCTCACTGGCGCAAGCGCACCACCCGTCCTGCAATGTATATTTTATTTTCATCCTGTGCCAAGGACGAACTCATCCCACACCTCAGGTGTGTGTTAATGATTTTCCATCTCTCTAACTAAGTACCTAAGTATCCATCCATCCATCCATCCTGTCGGTGTTCAAGTTCCTTGCAGTGTCCTGTACGAATACCCGTGGATCCTGCGCCCATCTCTGGTCCAGGGTCTCCCTTCCTTGCTCTCTCCTCCCTCTTCTCTGATAACCTGATGACGACAGGGGAGGACCACGAACCGGGAAAGAAAAAAAGACAAAAAAAGGGCCAAGAAGAGAGTGCGTAGTCGGCGTCCGGGCTGCAGGGCAGGACCCTGTCCCATGAACCTGAACCCTCCGACTTGCATGTGCCTTGGTGACCCCTTGCAGTTCTTAGCCCATCATCCACCCAACTGATCACCTTCAGCTCGTCCCATATAGCGATCCCCTACAGCCAAAAGCAACACACAGAGGCTGCCCGAGGGACAGACTCTGCACACCTGCCGCCCGGCAACTGGCACCCAAGCAAGGAATTTGACGGCGTAACCATAGGTAGTCATTATATTTGGCACCCTCAGGCAAGTGAACCATCCAGGCATCTTGGCTCAGAAAATCAACAGTGAGCCAGAGAGATGAGAAAGAAAGGGTGAGGAGAGAAGAAACCTCTATCTAGGAAGGGACTGCCTTGTATCTATCTGTCCTGTATCGTATCTGTACTACGTTTGGTTCCAGGTGCAGTGCAGTGAGAGGTCGCTCCCCATCGCTTCCATCCAACCCTGAAATGGATGGGTTCTTCCTGTTCACTGCTTCTTTGGGACCCCCTGAGTGCTCGAACCCATTCCGGGTCCCGTGGTCCCCACCCCCCTTGCTCAGTGCTGGTTGATGCAACCATAACGTCCAAACTTCTGGCACCTGGCAAATGAAGCCTCAACCGGGGGAAAAGGGATGACCGACTGGCAATCCCCTACAAGGCCTGCTAGGAATACATAGTAAAGTGTGATATATCAGAGATGTGCCAGAAACGCGAGGCCAACGTCGGTTTATTGTTTTATTTTATGTTTTTGCCGTGCAGCGGCGCGCATTCGCGAAATGACAATACGACACGTCCTGTGACTGCTCATGTTTCCCCCCTTCTTTCTCTCTCTCTCTCGTACCTCGCCTCAACTGAAGAATATTACGTGCATTGCACAGCTGCAGTCCGCCCGTCCGTTACCTGCATTCGAGATGGAGATCCAGCGTCACCATCGGTCCAACCGCACCGCGGCGAAAACATCAATAACAACAAAACAAACGTTTCCATCTGGCCCTTCTACCAAAACGATCGTCTCTGCGTTGTAGTGTTTATCGCAGGCTCAGGGCTCACCCTGGAGACAGTCGACAAGAAAGGAGGACTACTACGTAAGGGAGCCGATGCCCCATGCTCATCCGGGGACGGGTTTTGAGCGTGTGACAGGGGAACGCGCCGATGTCCTTCCTCCCTTCCCTGTGGTTCCTGGCAATCAATGCCCTGCATCGAATCGTCCGAAAATCCGTCCGGGCGGTCAGCTCTGGCCTCTGCAAGGGCAAAATAACAGGCCATTATCTTACCAAAGAGGTATACCGGTACCTCCTCCACCCTCCCACCAACAGCCAACAGCGCTGAAGCTGACGCCCTGCAATGGCATGTACCGTGCGGCCTGGTAGGTAGGTAGGTACCTTAGTGTATGTATCCGTACCTTGCACCGGTACTATGCGAAAATAGTACGTGCTCCAATGTTTCTCCACCCCAATGCACCCACCTTCAAATGTCTGCCCAAAAGCAATTACAAGAAATGAAACCCCCACCACCCCCTTCGGCGCGGAGAAGGAACAAAAGGAAGCGCCCCAGGGACATGGGGTAGGGAGAGATGAGAGAAGAAGGAATATCATTTGCAGATGGTGGGGAAAACGTGTGGCCGGCTCAAGAAACAAACAAACAACATTATCAACACGAGGCCCAACCATCACCGCACAGCTGCCTCTGCCACCTACATGTTTGCCGTCCACCCCCCTCCTACTTTCCTTAAGCTTCATCTATCGCTACACTGCAGGGCCACGAGGACTTTGTGCACAGAGGTTGGCTTGAGAATCGAGGGCGCATGCGCATGCATGGCCTCCTTTCGCTAGGTACACTAGTATCGCCGTTTCTCCGAGCCCTCGAAACGTTAGCCCACGAGCCACTGCCTGAGAATCTCAGCCAGCTTGATTCCAACCGCTTCCTTTGTGCTTTTTCCTGCCAGGTCCCAACACAAAGGTTTCGCTTCGCCCCCAAGCCAGGGTCTCGTCGTAGTAGCCGCCCGCCACCCGGCAGCGGCCAGGGTGCAGAGCACATGCCCACCCATCTTGACTCCTATCCATATCTTCTACACCCCTGGTCTTGGATCCAACCATCCGGTCCCAGCGACGCGAAACAGCTGCACTCTGCTACTGCCGCGACTCTTCCGAAAGCCCAGATTGAACGTCTGTGGGAAGCGGAGAAGGAATCCCAACATCCTCATCCTGTGCCTCCACCTGCCATCTCAGCCCCTGCCTCTCGCACGACTGCCGCCGGTTGTTCGTCTGCCGCCTGGCTTCCCTTGGCCCCCGTGTTCTGTGTCAACTGACAATGGTCGAACGTATCGGCGTCTTGAGACGCCTTTGGCCTCGTCTCTTCTTCGGATGGACTGGCTTACGTCTCTTCTTGACACTCGGCGAAACTCTTGCACGAGCAAGCCACTACCGCCACATGGAGGACAACGGGTTCCGACTGAGATGATTCTTCACAAGCTTGCTAAGGATGATTGCACCCCTGGCTGCCGACTGGATCAGTCCATGTTTGCATTCATGTTTCCATGGCGGCGCTAGGCCAGTCAGATGCCATCCGACCCTTCTCCGGGACGAAAACACGGCGCTCGTGTAAAACACGGGATGTCGCCCCAAGCAATAGGGGTCAGAGAGTAACACGGCGCACTCTCTGGTGTTTTTGCGTGCTGCAGCCTTGAAGTTTCCTCTCAGGCGTAGAGTTACCCGCCGGTCGGTTCTGCGTCGTTGGAGGGGCACGCACGGTTGATGGGCAGATTACGCGGTCGACGACAACGGGTCAACGGTCTTCAAAGCGAGTCTTTTGTGGAGGCTCCTCGTTATGATATCGACTGGGGTCCTGTTGATAATGAGACTGCCGGCACTACCGTGATGGGCTCCTGGTTTTCTGCGTTCAAGGCCGAATGTCTCTTTCCCGGCCGCCAGCCGCTGTCGACACAATATTTACATGCCTCGTAAAGAATCTCTCGAGTTATGTGATCGGTCAGCTGGCTTAGCCGTCCGGAATGCAGCGTCGGCAGCGCATTTTTCGCTAACAGGCGTCGCCCCTTTCCTTGACCAAGCACTGTGTCATCGGCCCTTGGAAGCAACACAACATAGCTGGCGAGATCGCTCTGACGTGATGACGCAGTCCCCTGCAGTACCGGTAGCGTCCTTTACGTCCTCCACCAACCCTCAGGGCCCGATCTGGTATAAGCTTTCAAGAACGCTGTGATCAGACAGGGAATCAACGCCATGGCAGCGAATCAACAACACACAATAACGGCTACAGTCTCGGCATAGTGGAAACACAAGCATAGGGTTTGCCAAATTTTCAGCCTTCCAAGACAACCGATGTTCATCCCTTGTCGGCCAGGATATCCTTTACTGGTGAGAGTTACCATCATCTCGTATTGTACATACGTAAAAGTTTGATGGATGTTTAACTTTTCTTGGGGATTTAACCTTTCTTATCTTTTCTGGAAAAAAATGTACATAGGCCAGCGGCAAATCACCTACCCAATACCTCACTCATTAACAGCAAGCAGATCAGTATCCCAACCTTGCAACAGCCCATAACGAGACGGCAATGGTAATCTACTCACAGTCATTCAGCCTTGATGCAGCCGCAGCCATAGCCGCAGCAGCAGAAGAGACCAGCGAATCTGATGAACGTGGCGATTAAGCAGCAGCCGCGCGGATCTGCGCGACACGTTCGAGCGGTACACCTAGAGGCCCAGCGGACTCTTCCGTAGTGGCATTAGCCAAGCGCACAGTCGCCGGCCGCGTGGTGCAAGTGCATGCCACTTTCCTGCCCACTTCTTGTGCCCATTCTTACCTTCATCAGTTGCTTTGACTGCGCACGCATAATGGACATAGTCTAATGCTCAGTAGGGCTTCGGGTGTACTGTCGTAGCGTATGTATGGGTGCACATTGGCTTTGGGCGCAACGACGCCACCATCACTTTGTGCTGCGTCTATGCCACCAGCTCTGCCAGGCACGTGAATGGCAGGTAGCACGGCAAAGGGCTACGGGCGGCGCCTCGATCGGCACTTGTTCTTGCGCCGGTTGCCCAGCCAGGCGCTGTTGGCGAGAGACCTAGTGGCGAGGATCTTCAAAATAGAAAGTTCTGGCTCTGTTAAGCATTACCAGGCGATGGCTTGCGCAACGTACTCACCTGAGACACAAGCCAGCTGGAACGGCCCCGACAAGAATAAACATCGGAGGATAAACATTGGCCATCCGCTTTCGAGGCTTCGTTTGACAGCGCGCTGTCCAAACTAAGCGTCTGTTTTTGAAGGCCTTCAGGTGAAAACTTACGAACCGAAGTCGAGCCATGTGAGGTCTCCGCCAACTCGATAAAAATCGGGATGTTGGCTATCATACCCATCAGTCGTGACAACCACTTTTGGAACCCGGGGATGGACATAATCGACGTGGCGCAGCCGGCTGTGGCTCGAAGGTGTGAGGTCTTTGTAGGGACTGGACCGTTGGCCTTCCGCGGCTTGTGTGCGCCCACAATCATTCGTTCAATTGGACAAAATCGGGTGTTCTCAAACCGACAAGGCCTGGTTGCTTGGAGAGTATATGACTAAGCATGCCTACCCTTTTGGGGAGTTCGCCTCTTCCGAGGAGTCCGGCATCTGATTGGTAGGAAGGGCACCAAACGTCACAGCTGTGAGTAGGTACTGGAAGCTACCAAAAACAGTTGGAGCTGCAAACCTGCTGGCCATTAGCGGTGCTTACTGAGGGTCAGCTCATACATACCTTGGTAGGTACCTAGGAGGGTAGGTACCTTCAGCACCTTACCTCCTTCCTCTGACCACAAATCGACCGATGCAACTCGTGACCTGTAGAATCCACAACCTCAACCATCACCGGTCAGCAGATGCCCAACTGGCACGCCACCGCTATCTAGGTATGTTTGTCCGCGAACGTTTTCGATCTCCTTTGAAATCCTAGTCTCCCAGGTAGTTCACGGCCAACACCCCTTCAAGTTCATATCCTCCGACTTCCATCACGTCCACCGCCCTGATACTTCCTACTTTACCTCACTGGATACATAGCGCGCCACTTCTGACGCACTTTCACCCCACCTCCGGAGAGTTGCAGCCATCTCAACGACGATCTCTCGCTTCTCAGCGTTTGTCTGCCTGATCCACTGGTGCTACTGCCGTTGCTGGATACCCCAGGTCAACCACCTGAATTACCAACACTGCCCTCTCAGTCTTGCCAAAAGCATCAATGACCTGACATGGCACCGGATCTTAACTCCCTCCCTTCATCTCCTCCGTCTCTGCCCATCCGATCCGGAATGGCTTCCTCCAACGGCGAAATGTCCCTCTCTCCCGCCGCCGCCGGTCCCGCTCCTCGAGGGGAGTCGCCCACCGGTTCGCCCCGTCGGTTGTCAACCTCGCTGCAAGCTGCGGCCACTATGAACGCCGGTCTCCAGCACGAGCCGTCTCGACGTATGTGTGAAATATAGTTATGTAATGGTCTGGTGCTGATCGTTATAGGCTCCTCTAGCGGTTCTCTCTCCCGTAGCCGACAATCCCCCAACGCCGGCCGAAGACGATCCACGGTTCTGATGAACTTGCAACTCAACGACCCTACTCTTCCCGGTCCTGGAGAGATGGTCGCAGATAATCAACATGCTCAGTCTGGAGGCGCCACGAACGCCAGTCCGCAGCCCATGGCGATCTCGCCGATGATTGTTCCCGGCGGTGATCCTCACCACAACCGAGCTCCCAGTCTGGGTGAACTCCACCAGGAGCTCGAGGCTGAGCAGGAAGCGCAAGTCGTATGTGACCATTTGTGCCTCCAGTGTCCAGAGACTGACAGTAGCAGAACCGACTTTTGCAAATGATCCGTCATCAACAGTTGCAACTCCAGCAGCTGCAAGCTTCCCAGGGACAAAACTCCTCCGCCGTTGAGGATTCTGCCATTGCATCCGAGAGATCCAATCAAGGAACACCGATTTCGCAGCCGAGCAGCATTCTGCCTCCGTCAGGTTTTACGCCACTGCCATCTTCTGGCTCATTCTCGAGATCACCCGTGATGCCTCACCCCCGTAGCTCGTTCGATATGGCGAGAGCAGACCTCCAGCGCCGGTCCAGAACCTCCAGTCGCGGTGCTTCCCCGAGATTGCGGTCGACGTCTATAAGCGGCGATAGTGGTGATCACTGGGTTCTCGGCGGCCGAGACGAGAGCGCCTTCTATCAGGCAGAGACCCAAATGCTTGTTAGGGAGAACCAGATGCTGCGCCACCGGATTCGTGACTTGGGTGAGTAGTCTTTACAGGTGTTGCGGTACTTGGCTGACACGCGAGTAGAGAAACAATTGACAGATCTGCTCTCCGGCACAACTAGCCATGGAAACCCCAGCGAGCCAGTCAACCCGTCCCATCTCCGAGCCGCGGCCGTTGAGGAGGACGACAGCATTACTGCTCGCGTTACGCCCTCGATCACTGCGGGTTCTGGCGAGGCTGCAAAGGAGGCGTGATGTATGGAATGTATCATATCACTGGCAATGGATGGCCGTAACGAAGTGTGACAAATGAGCGGGTTGGAATGGTTATTGCATTGGTGTCTGGCGTCGAGAGGAAAATTGTCGCCGTCTTTTTATTGTTGTGACGAGGTAGCCACACAGTTGAGGTTCACGAAGAAACTGGCTTCATATTTGCCAGGAGCAAAGCAGAGCGAGCTAGTCTCACGGTCGAGAATCGTGTTTCATCGAACGAACCTTTTCAACATGTTAAAGTGCTCTGCCCGAGCGGAAGTCAGCTACCCACTACGAGTCGAATATGATGACGTGTCAAAGGTATGGATGGTAGGCGTAAGCTGACAGGTGTTCTAATCGTCTGACGCCAGTTGACCCAGAGAACGGGTACAGTGTTGGCTGATGGCTTGTTATTCAACCTCTCAACAAGCACAAGTTCTCATCACTCCTTATTGACACTCCGCAACAATGCGATTCTCACGGATATTCCACCGCAGGTTCCGATTGACACCGCACACCAGACTTGTCGTTGCGGACAGGGAACGAAGCAGAAGCCTATCGAAGCGTACTACCGCATCGTGGGATTGTCCCCTCGCCGCCGAGGCCTGGGATCGCATGAAGCGGGGCTACCAGCCCGAGAGCATGGACGACCGATGGGTGGTTTCGTTAACGGGAGAAGACAAGCTGGTGTTCGCGAGGAGCTGGACAAGGTCCCCGATCGTCGAGATTCGGGTTGTTGCCCGGGACTACGCGAGGATTGTGTCGATTGCTTGGGAGGGCGACGAGTCAGTATGGACAGGAGGGTCGGAGAAGAGCGCCAAGAAGCTTGTCGTACAGCTGTGTGCATCGTTGCTCGATGTTAGGCTGTCACCAGGAAACATCTGAGCTGGGACGGCTGGTTGGTGCGATACACTTATGGGCAAATCAGATCAGCGGTCTATTCCTTTATTCACTCGCTCTCACTTCCACCATCAATGTCGCGCAAACTTTGCAATATGCGGAAGCAGTCTTGAAGCCCCTACCCCGAAGCAGCTAGAGACTGTACGAGTTGAACAGACTCGATTTACTTGCATGCTAATCTGTCGTTTTACTACCAACCCAATCGCAGTGAACGTGAATATCAAGATTCAGTCGCAGACCATAGCTGTGCACAAGTACCCAACGGACAACTTCAAGTCAGCTCGGTTTTGCCAACCACGGAGACTAGAGCCATTTACGGTTCATCAACCCAGTCCGGGTTCCTATGAGCTTGCCATGGTGTCAGCATTCTTGACTTACCTCTTGCTAGACAATGCAAGGCAAAGGGCCCAGCCAACCCTCACATCCCATTCCGATATGGCATCTCAGCGTTTCCTTGTGCGAGGTGAGACCGTCTCTCCTTGAAACTGTTCTGCTGGAATGTGGGAATCCTCGAACCTTCCTGCGCTTCCCTGGTATTGTATTAGGCATCCACGTTTGCTCCAAGCAAGGTCATGATCTGATATATTCCTATATTCTTGACCATATAACTCATTCTGTGATAGCCATTACGTAGGAACCAAGCTACTTGCTAGAGGCAGTCTGCCTAGGAGTGCAAGTTGCCCTTGTTAACTCTTGTGTCACTAAACGTTACAGTGGCGCATTTCTTTCACTTCGTCGCCATTCTTATATGGTTAGTGAACCTACATCAGTATGGGCGCTTCAGTTCAGCTCGACCGACCCAACTAGATCATTGCTGCGAGAGCCTTCAGATGCTTGGCTGCCAAGGTCCCAAGGTACTTCAGGGTGAAGACAAGGTTTTCGAACCATTTTTGTGCGGACTCAATTATTAGCATGTCTTTGTCTAGGTGTCTGCTTCTGCCTTCCCATGCTATGTTACTGTATGGTCTGGCATGTGTTTAGAGATGAAGTTGTATAGCGCACAGGACCTAGCCACCAATATACCTGCGCGTGCACCTTTGCCGTCCAGAAGTCGTGAGAACACGACGAAGGCGGAAAAAATAAGGTGCTGCAAACAAATATGTATACTTTTGACTGGCTAATAACCAGGTATCTATTTACAGCCTGCGCAGGTCGGCACACATTGTAACGCCAGCCCTTCGGACGCAGTGGGTTTTGTTATTTTTTTTTCTTTTGTTCTTACTCTATTTGCTGTATCTGCGACAATACAGGCATGAGGCAACCCTTAATCTGATAGCACCAGGGCAAACCCGGGTGCATCTCAGATTAATGGGCAGGGATGGGAGAAGGACCGAGGGAGAGGCGCTATGTGTATGCCTTACGCCTTTAAATAAAATATACAGGGGAACACAGCCGACATCCTTCACCCCGCCCAGGGTATTGCCGCTTTTCTGCCACTTGCCAACTCCTCGCATGCCGGGATTGAACACGTTACTGATGCTTTCCCTATCCAACTTTCCACCGCATGCAGAGATCCTCGACACCGATACAAGATATTAAAAAATAAAAAATAAAATACAATACTCGACGCACAAGTGGTGCCCGGACAAAGACGGAAGCAAGGAGCCCACGTACAACGGCGCCGAGATCTTGATAATGGGAGCGACCTAGACCGGTTCCAAGGTAGAAGGGTATTGTGGACAGAAGACAAAAATAAAGGAAAGAAATCTTTCGAGCAGATAGCACATGACCGAGGACACGCTGACGTGCCTCCTTTACATGCCATCGATAGATACGAAGCAACTGCCAAGCATCTCATCAAACAGGATCCTCCCGAAGGGTATCGAAGCGTAAAATGGTGATAGTTATAAATGGCGTTTATGTCGTCAATCAGTTCCAGCCAAGAGAGTTCTCAGCAGCGACCGGGGCCGAAATAACAGCCGTTCGCGCCGAGTTACCCATGCCGCTCCGTCCAGTGCGACCACTGCCATGACTTTCACGGCCGCCGGCGACTCCGCCGTAGTTGGAGAAATCGCGGCTCATCAGAGCACCTCCCATCATAGGCGGACTGCCGGCATCAGCGTAGCGCATCTCGGAGGAAGTCAGGGAGCTTGCTCGACGGTGCGCCTGCTTCTTCTGCTTGTAGCGGCGGGCAATGATGAACATGGCAGCACCATACGCGGCAGCAACACCAACAGCACCGATACCGATAGCAGCAGCGGTTCCTTTCTGGATAGGGGACTGCTTGGAGCTGTCGTCGTCGCCGCCGAAGGGGTCGTTGGAGTTGTTGGGGGTCGAGGACGAAGGAGAGCCGTTATCACCGGTAAAACCGCCATCATCCTCCATGCCTGGAATGATCTCGATGGCGGGATTGATGTTCTGCGTAAGGTTATAGATGAGGGGGTTCGGGTTGTTGTAAATGGCCGAGTTGGCAATCTTGATATCCATGCGCAGTGTGTCAACCATGCTTCGGGGGTAATAGAACTTGGCGAGCGTGGTGATGTAGCCGAGAGTTTGAGACGTATCGTATGGGACGAGCTTCGTCATCTGAATCTGGTTGACATCAATACCAACCGCATCCGCCAGAGCCTGGGGCAAGAAAGTGAAGATCTGAGCAGCTGCATTGGGATTCTTGCTGACGTGCTGGTAATTCTCGCCGTGCAAGAAACCGATCTGGAGAAGCATAGAGTCCTTGGGTTGTTCAATATTGGGGTTAGGTCCACTAATAACCTTGGGCAGGTCGGTAGGCAGCGGAACTGTCGACGTGGGAGCCAGAGCCTCCGTGGGCGTGCTGAGCGAGGTAGACTGCTCCACGATGATGATACTCGGGAGCCATGACTCAGAATCAGTGATCGTGGCCGTAGCTGGGATACTGGTGACCACCGGGGTGGTCGTAGGTGGTGGCGGCGTGACGGTGGGAGTGGTCTCTACAACAGTCTTCGTGAGGGCCTCCGATGTGTTCGCAGGGACCGTAGCTGAGGTCGGGATCTCAGTAGCTGATGTAAGGATATCGCTAGTGGTAAGAACGGGCTCAGTAGCGGTAGCTGTCTCATTGGCGATGGAAGTGGACGACAGAGAAACAGACGTAGTGGGTGCTCCAGTCACAGTGTCGGTCGCGGTCGCGTTGCTGATGGACGTGAGCGAGGTGGGAAGCTCGGTTAAGGTCGGAAGCTGCGCGGTGGTCGTCGGAAGCCCCGTAGAGGTGCTGTTCAAAGGAATCTCAGTACCACCAGTAGCCGAAGTCGTAGGTGCAGATGCGTCGGTCGAGGTGGCATTAGCAATACCAGTGGGGAGAACAGTTACGGAAGCAGACTCGGGAATCTCGGTAGAGGACGTGATATTAACGACCGGCTCGCTAGTAGCAGGCAGCGATATTGTGGACTCGACCGGAAGCTCAGTGGAGGTGGCGCTCACAGCGGGCTCAGTCGGAACAGGCAACGATGTGGTAGGGGCGCCGGTGGCACCGGCCGAGGATGTGACGTTGGCAACAGGTTCAGTGGCGACAGGCAGCGTCGTAGCCGTGGGGTCGGTCGGGGCCGGGAGTGCGGTGGGCGTTGGGATGACGAGACCAGATGTCGTAACAGGAGCTTCGGAGATGGAGGTGGCATTGGCGATCGGCTCAGTTATGTTGGTAGGAACGGCCACCTCACTGGAAAGGAAAGACACTATCGGGTCCAGGGGGTTAGGAGCCTTGCTAGTCTCCGAGACAGCGGAAGAAGTCGTCTGGATCGAGACGTTTTCAGCGGACGGGCCCGACTGTACCGCGGAGGCTGATGTTGTCTCCAGGGGGAGGACGACGGAAGTCCCCGAGGTCGGAGCTGAAGGCTCCGTAGTGTTGACGGCGGGGACGGCGTTATTGGCAACAGTATTAGTGGATTCCTGGCTGGCACTGGTGCTCTCAGGCTCGGTGAGCGAGGTAGCGGGCACCGTGTTAGACGTCGATGTGACAACTCCCGTAGGTGCCAGAAGGATGCCAGACGAGGACGCGGGCGTGGTAAGACTGGCCTCGATACTCGAATTGGCCACTTCAGACGTGCTCTGAGCTGTGGAGCTCGGGATGGCGGCTGAAGAATCGGGAGTAGTGGTCACCTGCACCGACGGCTGGACCGATCTGGAGCTAAGTATCAAAGAAGACGACGGAAGAGACTGGGTAGTGGAAACGTCAACAGCGGCGGACTGGGCGACCTCAACGGAGCTCGATTGGCTGGCAGTAGTGGCGTCGGAAATTGTAGGCGTTGCCTGCGAGCTCGCGAGCGTTTCGCTAGCTGCAATAGTGGACGATTCGATGCTCGTGGGCAGAACAGTGACAGGCGGCAAAGAGCTCGTTGGTCCAACAGGGTTAGTGGTTTCCGTCGTCTCGGTTGGGTCGAAAATAATGGTACTCGATATGATGACAGTCGTCACTCTGCCGTCCGTGAGGGTCTGAAGTGACGTGGACATGGTCGAGAGGGACGCAGCCGAGTTGGGGTCGGAGGCAGAAGTGGGAGTGGGCAGCGGCGTTATCAATGGATTGGTCGATGTCGGGCCGAAGAGAGAATCGGACAGGCGCGTCAGAATATCACCGAACGATGAGCTGGAGGGTATCGATGATGAGGAAGAATCGAAGGGGGTGCTTTCGGGCGCTGGGAATGTCTCCTGCCTCGTGACGGTCGAGTTCGTGAACTGTCGTTTAATGTGACGGGGGAAGTAGATCTTGGGCCGCTCTTGTTCGGCGCAGGCGGAGCAGGCCAGGCCTAGGGCGGCGGCCAGAATGGCGGGTTTGGCGTGCATGGTTTCCTTCCAATGAATTGCAAATGGAATCGGGATAGGTTTGAAAGATTGTGAATATACCACCAGTCTTGGTATTTGGGTTTGGTGATCTCGAGCTTGTTGTCAGTCGGGGTCGGCGCCAATGGGAGGCGGCAGCAACTCACTGTGTCAGGGTGTTATAGAACGAATGTACTTGACAAGGTATTGTCAAAGAGTGTGATGCAGGTTTGGGTATGTATAATGAGCGACTCGACGAGATATCGTCGGATGGAGTGAGAAAGACGTCGTTTAGTGATCCGTCACGTCTTGGGTAATTGAGGTAGTTCCCGATGTCGAATTCATGAGGAACCTGGCATCTGTTGGCGGGACCTCAAGAGGGTCATCAAACCGGCTCAAGGCACATGAAGGGGCTGCAGGATCGACTCGGAAAAAAGACCCCTTCCACGACACAAAGGGGCGCAGGTTGAGAATCCAGGAATCGACGTCGCCGTATGAGATTCTTGACGGAGGCGAGAGGATGTCAAGGACGACTTGTCGAAGACGTTGTCGGGTGAGGGGTGGGGTCGGCAGAAGAGAGCGAACGAGAGGAGTAAAAGGGAAGGGGAGAAGCGAGGGTGGTAAAGGAATGGAAGGGGACGCAAGAAAGAATGTGGATGGGTGAAGCAGCGAAGGATGGGAGGTTGATTGATTGATTGATTGATGGAAACACACAACAAGGGACGAGGGACTGGGGGTCAGGGGAGGACAGGGATGGGGTGGCAGCAAAGAGGCAAAGGAGGAAGGAAGACTACCTGCTTGAGAGAGAGACACGGATGGACAACGGGATAAGGAAGGGGGGACACGATGGGATGGGCTAGGATAAGGTGGATCGGGGGATTAGCCCTCTCTCGCACTCGGCGTACCTACCTAGGGAGGGATGACAGCTGCTGGAATGGCTGGTACAATTAGCATGCCTATGCACAACAGATAGATAGGTAGGTACCGTGCAGGAGGGGAGGATGCGCAGGGGGGCGTGGGCCTGAGTAAGTGGGCGTGGATACCAAAGTAGCTTTTGGCATTGCGCTTGTACGGAGTATTGTTACTATTATTTTTTTCCCAACCCTTTCTTTCTCTTCCCCGGCACCCATCCACCTACCCCCCCTCCCCTCCTTTTTATCTTATTTTACCCGGGGCACCAGCTGATTAGTGTGTATACGTGCATATTATAGTCATAAAGCCCTGCAGGTGAGCCAAGGCCGAGTTGGCAAATGTGGATAACATAATGATTCCCATCCCAATCCAAGGCACCATGAGTAAGTACCTCCTCCTATTATCTACCACATCCATTTCTACCACTCCAGAACGCCGCTGGGTTCCTCGGTGCGGTATGGATACAAAGGATGCGTAATGGCCGAGACAGACGGCTAATGCAGCACAACGATTACGCAACTCGACTCGGCACAGGAAATCGTGTACTATGGTATCGGGCCAAAGTTTAACCCCCTCGTCAGGTAAATATGGCCGTGCTTTTCTGATTACCTCAGCGACGGTACTTTGAGGTTCTTGTGCACATCCATCATAATTCTGGCCAGTGAGAGTCTCGCGTACGTGGGTCACAACTCCACACTACCTGTTAGGGAGTTTTTACTTACCCATCACACGTAGTACAGACTCGCACCCAGGCCCAGCCAGTACCCCAAGCAGCTAACATGGGGAGCATTACAAACTTATCCCTTTTCGTATCAGCCTCGCCTGCGACGATGATCCCAGCTACAGACGGAACGGCGGTTCTGGTATAGATGGTCATTGTAACACGCATGAGCGTCGTGGCCGTGGCTATCTGGTCGACGAAAGCGATGACAGTCGCAGCGAAGTGACCATCTCAACTCTGCGCAGCTTTTTTCACATCCCAACCTAAGCGTGGCAGATGCAAATCAGCGTTTAGGTTATGCTGAACGGACAGTAACTATTAACCTTGAGACGAAATGGAAGACGGTGTGTGTCGGCCAACTCGTCGTAATCCGAGCTTAAGCTTGAGCTTGAGCTTGATCTCGAGCTTGGATTTGAGCTTGAGCTTTCACACCACGGGATGACGTGTCAACTGGTCGAACGAGCCCTGTAGATGATGGTCAGGCTGAAGGGTACCATTACAAGCAAAAGCCGGCAAGCCAGCGTGACCGGTTCGGGGTCTCCCTCTCCGAACCTTGCAGGAGGCTGGAGCAAGACACGCAGACACTCGCATAATTCTGTCTTCTTTTTCTAGTTGAGCCGACGGGCCGTCCAGCAAGCCAACTTCACACAGGCACGCAGCAAGACATGCGTGCAAAAAAAAAAAAAAAAAAAAAAAAAAAAAAAAAAAAAAAGAGCAGTATAAGTGGCTAATACTGAGCCCAGGAGTGCACGGTGTGTTAAGGTAGGTAGGTACGTGCAGCATGCTTTCCGATACTACGGCGCCATACACGATAGAGGGGAGGGCCCAAGCATCAGCTCTCACCGGCAGTCGACCATAGCACTGGGCGGCAGTCACCCTAGTGTAGATGGCCCGGGTTAATCCATTCTGCGACTTTTTTTTATTTTATTTTTTAGTCTTTAATCCCCTGCGCGCCCTTTGCTACATCGGGCGTTTGCGGTGGGACGGGTGGAAAGGCATGAAATGACATTGCTGTTCTGGTCATGGTCTACCGTTCAGGTCACTTTACCGTTGTGGCAGTGACCTCTGCCCATGGCACGCTGCGTCGTGTCCGTGTCCTTCGCCTGGGACCCCTTGCTTTCTCAGTAGCGCGCAGGTACACTAGCTAAAGAAGGCCGGCCCTCAGTTCTATCAGCGACCAGGGGTAGCCTGGGAGCCCTAGTGCCTGCTAGCCAATCCAAGATCGGATACCTGACGGCAGCGTTTAGCAGGAACGCTGTGGTTGCGCGCCAGTCATCAGACGGGTCCCAAAGAGTGATTGGAGCTGGTGTGCTGTATGTGCAGAGAAGGGGCCTGGCGTAGTTGGCCGGTAGACAGACACTGGTCCTTGGGCGAGATGCCCAGCGCAGTACGGTGTACTCGTGACATGTCAAAGAGGCGGATTGGCAAAGCGAGGTACCGCGAAAGATGCTGAGCGGCAGAGACAGGCAACCCGGAGAAAGGCTTGACTTTTTCGGGGCATGGACTGGGGTTCTGGGAATGGGCAACGGTGCAGATGCTGGTGGGCAAACTCGTGGAGCCCAAGGTAGTTAGTTACGTACTGTATCGTTTAGATGATGTGAGATGGGGCAGGACGAAGCGGGGATGTCCAGGCATCATAAGACCAGTTCTACTGCTTGGGTACCTATCGAGCGCATTGATTTCAACCAAGAAGCAAGTCTCGGTACATGTGCCTGCCAGCTCCTCCCCACTCGCGTGTTCGTCTGTCGGGGCTTGTCGCCCCTTCCTTCGAGGATTGAGTGAACCGAGAAACAGGGGAGGATCTGGCAAGCGAGCCAGAACCATTGGCCGAATCTCGAAGAAGCAACGCTACGGGCAATTTCACGCCGTCTGATCC